CTGCTATGGAGGGGCCTAGAACCTGGATCACTCATTTTCTAGGTGAGTACCCTAACCACTATACTGTTGGTCTAAATTGTTTGGCTCCTTTCTCTGTTTTTTGACATCTAGTATCCATTTGCACAGCCATACAGGATGTGTAATAAGATTGCCAGCTGTCTGTAAATGCAAAACTAACAGTTATGTGGCTGAGGGAGTGCCATCTGGGCTCCTGGGACTCTGCCCCAGGAGTCTGGAGCAGAGGCAAAGCACAGGTGGGTAGTAAAGGGCTGTCCCTGCCTCAGAGAGCCCACATTTAGGTTCTGACAGGATCCAGCAGGGTCCTGGGACAAAGCCAGGACAGATAGGGAGTGAATGCCATCTCCTTCTTGTGGCTGCTGCAGCCATGCTCTCCATTTCCTTTTCTGTATCTAAGCAGGCTTGGGAGGGAGGAGGCCAGAAGATGGGGCAGGAAAGGCAGTCTTTATCAGTAGTAAGTTGTTGCTTACGATTTCACAAAACCCACAAGATACAGTTCTTGTAAACTCTTAGAATAGAAACAGTTCAGTATAACAGTGTGAACAGAAAGACTTCCTGTCACGGCTCCTGGAAATTCTGAAAGAAGCAAAATCCAGGAAGTTTGGCTTGTGTAAGTCTCACTTCTCAGTCCATGACATTAAGGGCTGAATCTGAATCTGAAACTGGAAAGGAGATGTTTGGCAGGCTTAGATGCCTCCAAACCTAGTCTGATTGAGAGGGCGAAGGATGTGGGGAGCATGGTCAGTTAGGTCTCTCGAGCTCTGGGAAGTGTGTCACCGCTGGTTCCCTCATCTGCAAGGATACTGCAACTGCCAGTGAGTAAGAGATCAGGGGGGTCATTTGTCTGCCTGCTTTGCTAGCTAAGGGAGCTATGTTATCATTAGGGGAAGGGTAGCAAATGAATGTGGAGGCTGAATTCCCCTCACTCCAAAGCTTTGGGTTGGTTTTTAGTGTCAGGGTGAAGAGGGGTAGTCCCTGCATTATAGTGATACAATACAGTGCCTGCCAGTAATCACCCAGCTAGCAAGGAGTGAGACAGATTTTGCTCTTCCAGAAATGGTCATCTTGGAAGATATTTTATGTAGGGGGAGGGAATTTTCTCTCAGAGAAGGTTTTGGACCTTCTCTTGTGTACCACAAGAGTTTTGCTTCCTTGTTCTCCAGAAGCACGTATGTGTGTGGGAGCACACGAACAGCAGGGCCACAGAGGCGAGAGCTGACTCCTGATCCAGAACTGTATTTCATGTGAAGGCAAGCGTGACCATGATGAACTTCTACAGCGTTTTTCTGCTCCTGCTGCCCTGGGCTTTTGGGGTCAGGGAACTTCAAGGTGGGCTCCAAATTTTTTAATCTTCTTTTTCTTCCTTTCCCTTTTTGTCATCATTTCTCCCATGCCCTCCATTCAGCGCTGTCACTCTTCTCTGTGTCCTTCAGCTCTCATCCCCCATTTCAGATGAATGTATTGTGGATAGGCAGACAGCTAGGGATGGACAGTGGAGTGGTAGATGTGCAGGTGGGAAGTAGAGATGGATGTACAGACATGCGGAGGACTGAAAAAGCAGGTGAGATGAAGAAGGCAGGTGGTGAATGGACAATGAACTGGTGATGATGTGGAGAAATAGCCAGACTTTTGAAAGTGGTTGGAGAGCGAGACAGGAGACAGAAAGGGTGAATGGGTCAAATCTGGAGCATAAATGAATGTGTGTCTAAGTGGAAGCAGGGACAGCAGGTAGGTAATTAAATGTGTTTATTAATGAAAGGTAACAGGGCCAACCTGAAACACTCCGGTTCCCAAAAGGGAGCACATTCCTGCATTCATTCCATTTCTGCTCTGCCAAAGCAGAAAACAGAAGGAACCAAATGGTCCCTCCCTGCCCTCTTCATCCAATATGCTATTCACACAGTTTTCACCCTTCAAAATCTCAGGAAAAGATATTTGAAGATGTAGGCAGAGCTGGCCTCTAAGCATGTGAAGAGATGTAACATTTGAAGCACTTCAAATGCTTTTGAAGATCTTCAGAGAACAAACCATACAGGTGTGCACATCCTTTGAAGCACTTCAAACAATGGCACAGGTGCTCCAAAAGTGAAGCTGAAGAAAGCAAGTACAATTTAGAAGCACTTTCAAATGAAGCACTTACTGTTACGTATGTACTAGCCAATTGCCCATCAAGAATGGCGGGGGGAGGGGGGCGCAGACCTGCATGTGGAGTTGGTCTGTGGGCCTGATCTAGCATGGGGTCAGTACTTGGAAGTGATCTGATGTGCTGGCGTGGCTCCATGTGCCAGATGCAGCTGCAGAGCAACCACGTGCCAGCACAATCTGGTGCACAGAGCCTGTGGAGCTCCCCACAGGCCCAGAAATTTGGCAGTGCGGGAGAATTAATTATTGGAGCTCTGGAAGCAATTAATGCTGCTACCATTTCCCTACTGCCAATCTTCTGGACCTGTGGGGAGCCTGGTGGGTTGGATCACCCTGTAGGCCAGCAGGTGAGCTGCCCCATCATCAGCAATCCCTCAGGGGTGAGGATGATCACTCCCAGTGTGGGTGAAGTAAAGGGTTGTAGATGAGTTCACTGGTGGCTAAGAAGGCTGATCTTAGGGCTGCAGACTCTCTGGCAAATGCCATAAATGGTGGTTAAAGGGAGGGCTGAACCATGAATTTCTTCGTCTTGTTTCCTTTCCTTCTATTTCTGTTGTTTTTCTGCCTCCAGGGAGAGACGGTTTTCCTCAAAGTAAGATGTACTTTCTCTCACAAGGCATCACTATGTAGCCCTCTCCTGGGCTAGTGTTTCCCAACTTGTGATGTCAATGCCACACTTAATATTCACCTTGAGGGTGCCCTTGAAGTATGTCCTCTGATCCTTGTGTGTCCTTTGTCCTTGACTGAGTTGGGAGTATAGCAGTGGTTTCGGTAAACATACATCAGGCATGTGCACACAATGCCCTGTCCACCACAACTGATGTTGAATAATCAACACTTCCATGCTGGTGGTGTTAGTGTCAGTGAGGATGCTGATGTTTGTGCGACAATCCTCGCACTGTATGCCAATGATCTTCTGAAGGTATCACTGGTGATAGCGTTCCAGGTTTTTCAGGCGGTCCCTGTAGATTACTCGATCTTCAAAACTATAGAGAAGAGTTGGAATTACCACAGCCTTATATAGTAGGAGCTTTATCTGAGTCCTTATGTCATGATCATTAAATACATGATGATTCCATCTTCTGAGGGCAGAGCTGGCACATTGGATACTATACCGCATCTCCTCATCAATGCTGGCCTTTGAGAAATGGCTGCTGAGGTATGCAAAGTGTTCAACATTCTCCAACTCCTATCCATCAATGATGATCTTTGCCACAGGGATCGACTGGCCTGGAGCAAGCTGGCAAAGCACCTTTGTTTTTCTGATGCTAAGGGTCAGCCCCAGCCACTGGTATGCTTGAGAGAAGTAGTTAAGGGTCATTTGCAGATCCTTTTCAGTATGTACAATGACAGCACAATCATCAGCATACTGAAGTTCCACAATTGAGGCCAAAGTAACTTTGGTTTTGTCATAGAGGTGGAAGAGATAGAAAATGTTCCCATCCATCCTGTGCTTGGTGTTAATGCCATGTGCCGATGGTCACAGATGAGCATCTTGATGACTGCAAGGAAGATGGAAAACAGAATTGGTACAATCACACAGCCCTGCTTAATGCCAGTTCGAATGGCAAAGGGCTCCATAATGGAGCCACTGTATAGGATGGAGGTAGTCATCTGGTCATGATGGAGTCTTAGGATGGTGATAAAGTTTCCTGGGCAGCCAAATTTCAATAAGATCTTCCATACAGCCTCATGGTTAACAGAGTCAAAAGCTTTGGTCAAATCTATAAAGTCCATGTACAGTTCCTGGTGTTGTTCTTGGCATTTTTTCCTGGACCTTCTGGGCTGCAAAAATCATGTCCATGGTGCCTCTTGATGGTCTGAAGCCACACTGAGACTCAGGAAGGATTTCCTTAGCAAGAGGAAGCAATAAGTTCAGCAGAATTTGAGCAAGGATCTTCCCAGCAATGGAGAGGAGGGCTATACTTTGATAGTTCCTGCAGACTTATCTCCTTCTTTAAAAATTGTGCCAATTTTGGCATTCCCTAGGTCAGTGGGAATTTCCTCAGTGTTCCAGATTTTGAGAAACAGTATGTGGAGCTTGTTGGCCATAGTTTCCCCACCAACTTTGAAGACCTCAGCTGGTCAGCTATCAGGACCAGATGCATTGTTGTTCTTCATCTGTCTTATCACCTGGTGAACTTCTTCAGAGGTTGGTGTACTGGCAAGTGCTTCCCTTCCTGGATGCTCTAAGATGGATTTGATGGTTTCATCAGTCACTGTCAATTCTCAGTTCAGGAGCTTTTGATAGTGCTCTTTCCAGTGGTTTTTGATGGACTCATTGTCTTTTAGGAGTGTACTGCCATCTTCAGATCTAAGCAGGGTGAGTCCTCAAGAGCCTGGTCCATACATAGCCTTGATTGCACTGAAGAAACACCACATGTCATGATTGTCAACAAATTGTTGGATTTATTTTGCCTTCTCTTCCCACCATTTGTTTTTGATTTCTCTCATCTTCCTCTGGACTTCAGTTTTAAGCCATAAAAAAATTCCCTGCTTCTGCCTGGATGTAAGATGACTTTTTTGCCAGTCACAGAAAGCTTTTTCTCTTCCTATTGAGAAGGGCTTTGATCTCAGCATTGTTTTAGTCAAATCAGTCCTGACGGCATTCAGTGATAAAGCCAATCGGTTCTATGCAAGCCTCATCGATGGTTTCCTTTAATGCTTGCCAATCTTCCTCAATACAAGTGTTATCATTTTCAATCCTAAGATAGGTGAATTTCTTGCTGATATATGTTTGGAGGGCTTCCCCATGTCTAGGGGTCAGAAGGCATTTGATATTATACTGTCGTTGGACTGATTTGGGTTGCTTTTGATGTGTCAACGCAACCCTAGTGGAGATGTTTGATCTCACTAAAAAATGATCAGTCCAGCAGTCATTGGTTCCTTTTATAACAGGTGTGATATGAATGTCTTTTAGATCACATGCTCTTACGATGGGGTGGTCAAGGAGGTGCCATTGTTTTGAGTGGGGGTGTTGCCATATTGTTTTGTACCTGTCATGTTGTCTGTAGATAGTGCTAGTAATGACAAGGCCATGCTCTGCACATTAGTTGAGTAAGAGGATGCTGTTGGAATTGGTCTTGCTCACTCCTTCCTTCCAAATAGTGCCCCTTCACACATTAAAGACCCTGCCAACTCTTGCACTGAAATCTCCAAGGAAGATGATCTTATCATCTTTTGGAATGCTAGTCAGGATTTCATTAAGGTCAGAATAAAACTTTTTTTCTGTTCTTCCTTGGCAATGGCTATTGGGGCATATGCACTGATGATGGTAGAAAACAAATTGTTGGTCAGCTGGAGGTGAAAAGTCATGAGGCGCTCATTAATGCCAACAGGAAATTCAGTCATTTGGCTGACAATCTGGTTCTTAATGGTGAAACCACCACCATGTATTTGCCTGGCATTTGCAGGTTTCCCTTTCCAGAAGAACATATAGCCACCCTGCTCCTCCCTCAGATGGCATTCATTCGCATGTCTGATCTTGCTGATAGCAGCAATACTGATGTTAAATGTGAGAGTTCTCAGGTGACAATAGCTGTTCTACATTCAGGTCTGTCACAGTTTGGGTTGTCTAGTAGGGTTTGTACATTCCAAGATGCAAAGGACATTTTTGTGTTTTGACCACAATTTGAGTGATCCCTCTGGAAGTGGCTATCCAGTCAGGTAAGATAAGGTGAGAAAGCCTATGTTTGGGGCACCTTTTCTTGCCCCTTCCCCATGTGGGGTGAGCAGAGGGGATCCTAAAAGGGACTGTTCAGTCACATTTACAGCTGCCAAATCACCTTCTTGTCCTATTCCAAGGGTGCAGTGGCCAACACATGACTGCCATCTGCATGTGGATCTATGACTAGGCACTTTTGGTGATCACTTCATCTGTCCCCATCACAACTCATCCATTACTGCAGGGCTTTGTAGAGGTTTGGGTATTGGTGATTGGTTATTGTGGTAGATGTTGGGTCCAGTGGGAGAAGCCCACATGTGACTTGTTTTATGTTGGATGTTGGCAACCCATGGATCTTGGTGAGGGAGAAACCTGTGTCCAGTGGCAAGGAAATCCAAGATGACTGGGGTTTCTCTTATACCGCAGTCTTCACCTGCTTTTACAGCCATTGAGAAGTATGCCGTCTTCATCAGCCTGCTCCACCGAGGTCTTTATGTTAGGTTGGACTGCTTTTTGTCTGATACCTCACCTTTGACCTTACTGCCATGGGTGACCCTACCAGGAGTACAAGACTCCCAACAGTGTTGCTTTTAGGATCATCAGTACACACAAGCCTCTCTACCCTGTCAAGGTGGCAGTCTGTGGAGAGGAGCAGGTGAGCATGACTGTTATAGCATATTTTGAGCCACTTAGATGTGCATTCCTAGAGCATTGCTCATGCTTTCCTCTACAAATTTATAGGCTAAAAACTTACACTCTTTACATAAAATGAGAGCTATGTCTATACTCCCATATTAAGAATCATAGAGAAGTACTGTTGGAAGGGACTTGAGAGCTCATTTAGTCCAACTCCTTCCCTGAGGCAGTATTATCCTTATTGAAACCCTCCTATATAAATCCATTGTCTAACCTCTTAGCAAAATGTACATGGTCAAACCTAGCACAACACAAGACATAACAACATCCTAACCTGCTTCAGGATCAGCTGTAAGGAATCTCTATAGCCCATATCTGCCAGCCATCTAAATTAAAACCCTAGGGCTTGCCCCTGAGAGCAGTGCAACATGACCCAGAAAGCTCTACTGACCTTCAGGGTCTAAAATCACACCTCCCCCAAGCTGTCCCTTCTCTGCAGTATGTTCAGAACTCACCAAAGCACTGCAGGCTGCAAGTGCAGAAAGTCATCCACAGGAGTCCCACAATTCCTTGTTCCAGGCTCTAAGCCCTTCTGCATTCCCAATTCTGGTCTCTACTGCCCATCATTAGTGCTCAGCACAGAAGGAGATACTTATTCACAGACTAGAGGGCCTCAAATCGAAAACAGGAAATACAGTATGATTGACTTTGTGGGCCACAAAGTAAAATATAAGGAGGAGGGGCAGCTTGTGATTTGGGACAGGTGAGGGCAACCCTCAGGATGAATCATAAATGTCAGTGCAGATCTAACCTGAGATGCTCAGGCAATAATCTGAATACAGAAGTTCAGACTTTAAAATAAACACTATTATCCTGAAGCTCACGATATAATCATGAGAACTGGCAACATGGGGACTATGTCAGCTGGACTCTAAGGACTGGTGATTACCCTCTTTCTTTATTGTCTCCCAATAGTGGGCCTCTGGAAGGGTAAGGATATATTCATGAAATCTACAATATGTGCATTAAACAACATGCAAGGGTTTTGCTCCAGAATTCATCTTAGTCCTTACTGCTCAGTCCTTCCCCTCTATGGTGGCAAAGCGTGCATCTATTCCATTAATCCTCACTGCTTTTCTTTATGACCCATGTTTTCTATTGTTTCTGCTTTTCCCCTTGCAGAGAGCATCCCACAGCAGAGCCTGACCTGTTATAATGACCACACTTCTCTTATGACCTGCATGTGGGAGGAGTGCTCAGAGGCACAACATTTCCTGAATATGACTCTTTACTATAATGATGACACTAAAGACTCGTAAGTGCCTGAGTTCTGTTCTCCTGGAGAAGGACATGAGGGAATCTTGGCTACTGGACCTAAAAGATAGGGATGGGAAGTGAGAAATGGATTGATTTGGCAGACAGGTTTCGAGTAATGTATGGCCATTTTGGGCTTGCTTGCTGTGTATGTGGGGAGGAGGGGAGGAGTTGGAGACTCAAGTCAGCTTTGACATCTGCTTTCGGAAGAAGAAGGGAGGAGGGAAGTTGAACACAATAGGGATGCATTACCACTGGTTGTCTATGGGATTGCAAGTGGTAGCTGTGCCAGGGCATGTTAGGTTTCTGCACATGGTGTGGAGAAGGAGGCATTACAATGTAGGTGCGAAGGTCATTTATTAGCAGAGGAGAGAGGTACAGTTCTCCCTCCTATGCAGCTCCTTATGGCCCATCCTTATAGCAGTATCAGCCATCTCTGATGAAGTCAATTCTACAAAACAAGGAAGCGTGGAAAGGCTGAGAGAGAGAGAGAGAGAGAGAGAGAGAAAAGTTTATCTGTACTGCCAGATTTCCTCTCTGAGATGCTAGGCTCTGTATTTCTGTATCTCCACACCTCATCAGCTTTCTTCTGAAAAGGCAGATAAGCTTTCAGACTGCAAGGGACTGGAGGGAAGGACAAGAAAGGGAAGGAAGAAAGGCAAGGACAGATGTGGAAACAAAGAGATTCAGGTGTGAGGAGAGACAGGTCAAAGTCTGGGGAAAACAGGCAAATGGGAGATGAAAGAGATCAGTTATATTGCTTTGTATGGAGGAGATGCTGAAATCACAAGTGGGTTGACCTGATGTCCGTTGAAGTAAATGAAAGGGCTCTCACTAACTTTACCAGGTTTTGGATCTGGCCCCAGGAAAGTGATCATCTCTAGATAAACATCCTGTGAAATGACATGATTCTTCCAAAGATGCTCTGTGAAGGTCATTCTCACTTGATGGGCCATGAGAATGAATCATAAGATGAAAGTAAATTAGATTACTTGGTCATACTAAATGGATTCCACCACTACCAGTCATCATGTGATGATGCCTTTTCTTCACCACATATCACCACACCACTACTAACAAATGGCCCAGTCCTTGGAGGTCTTCAGTTGTTGGATGAAGAAGAATTAGTACAGAGAGTGGCAGCATGTTTTCTTGGCAACCCTTTTTCCAACAGAAATATGCAGCATGAGCTCATTTCAAAATGCCTGCACTCAGCTAAAAGAAAATACCCTGCTGCACCCCCCGGGGAAAGGCTGAGAGAAGAAATCATATGTGATATATTAGAAGTGTTGGTACATGGTGATAAATTGGTATAAAGGCCAATATAGAATAGAACAGACCATGGGGACAGTTTCAAAGTCCAAATTTTGGATTTTTTTTAATACCTAAATCATTTCCTTCTGGGTCTCTTTCTCTGCAGCATTGTGATGCCATGTGAATCCCACCAAGTGGAGGGTCACACTGACTGCCAGGTCTCACGCACACACTGGGTGTGCCGCAAAAATCACACCACTTTTGGAATAGAACAGAAAGCTATTTACAGCCTCAAACCTGACCAGGAGCTACAGACTGAACTGCGTGTCATTCTCTTCCAGAATGGTAAGGTTGAGACACCATCATTTTTCCTCTCCATACATTTTTGAGATCCTTTGCAATGAAAGTTTCTTCCTTCTACCTGATCCCTTAGCCCTAGACAAGAATAGTGATCCTGAATCCAGCCAGGAATCAAAGTTTATTTCCACTGTAAGACCTTTCTATCAGTGTCTCTTCCCCACCCACATACTAATCGTTCCATTGTATATTGTATCCTCACCTTTCCAGTCCAGCCTCTCCCACCTCAAAGCCTCTTCATCCATGTGACAGAAGGAGGTGACTTCTTGCTGGCATGGGAAGCAGCTGGTGGGATAAATGGAAGCACCTGGCCAGACAACATACTAGAATATGAAGTGACCTACAAGAGGGACTGGGAATCCTGGGAGGTAAGCATGAGACATATGCAGGCATTGGCCTGTGCTGTCCTAGGTTGTACCATGGAGAGGACAGCCTGAACTTAGACCTGTGCAGAGAACTGACTCCTCCATTCACCGGAATTTCTGGAAAATTGAAACAAAATGGACATTTTTGAGAATAGAGAAATGTCAGAAAAAGTTTCATTTGGTTTGAACAAAATATTTCCTTTGAGCCAATACAAAATGTTTGGTTTCATTTGAGAGATTATTTACATTTTTATTCTAAAAAGCTATAGTAAAATTTAAAGTTAAATGTAAAATTCAACTTTGACCTGAAATTGTTGAAACCAAATGTATTGATGTATTTAGGGGTTTATTGCTTATAAAAACAATTTGCCCAAATCTTGAGAAAATTACAAATATATTGGTTAGCAGGAATGTGCACTTTGTTTTAAAATATTTTTGACCAAAATCCTTTATCTACTTGCTAGCCTCTACAACTGGAATGGTTGATATGCAAATCCTCAGGGAGATCTATGTCATAGATATGATGCCTCTGACATGGTGTAGCTGGCTGGGGGTGTGCCTTGCACACTTCTTGTCCCATCTAGCCCTGTGGATCAAGGCCTGAGACCCTGAAAGTACAAAGCTATCTGTCTCCTTTGAAAGCAATAAACTCCACACAAGCAGCATTGCACCGTGGCCTAGCCCAGGATCACAGATGTAGCTGGGCTTCACCACATGGAACTGACCAAGCAAAGATGTCTTCACACTCATCTCTGACATTGCCTCTCCCTCTTGTCCCCTCCTCTTCTCTCTTTTGTCTCATTATTTCTTTTCTCTGCTCACTTCATTCTCTCACCCTGCATGGACAGAGTTCTTCCTCTGTGTTGGTATCAAACACCTCCAAATACCTCTTCAGCCACAACAGCCTTGTACCTGGGAGCACCTATGTTGCTCGTGTCCGAGCCAAGCCAAGCCAGGAGAGTAACTTTACTGGGCAGTACAGCACATGGAGCACAGAGGTGTCTTGGGAGACCCAAGCAGGTAAGTGTGATGTAAGAGAATAAGAGTCAGGATGAGGTGTTGCGGGGTGAGGAGCATTGAACTATGTGTTGTACTAGCAGTAGATGTTTGGGGCTGAGCTGAAGAGCACTGGGACATTGCTGGAATGTGATGATTATGTTCTGCTCACCCAAAGGTCCCCAGTGTCACCGTCAACTTTTACTTGAGTGGATGCAATGTCTGTGAAGGGAATCAGATCAGTAGCAATAGAGGGCAAAGCCTTTTGTTTAGTCCCATAGAAGAGGTGCCAAGTTAGCACTGACAGGAGCAGCACAAGCTCTTTATGCCCAGTTCCCCTGGTGTAGTGTAGCTTATTCAGCCTGGCCTCTGGTGCTGATGGTTTCTGTGATATGGACTCTGTTGTTGTCAGTCTTGTCTGCCTCTCATGATTCAAGCAGTGTATCCATTCTTTGGTGGACGGATAGACCGATGGGCTGATATAATGCTCCAGGCTTTGCTAGAGAAACCTGAAGCTAAAAATAGCCCCCTCCTTTGCGATGGCCACAAAAAAATCACTCCTCAACTGTCCTCCCTTCATCCATTCCTGGTTTGCCTAGAGGAAGCCTCACCTCTTTCTTTCCCAGGAGATGATGGTCATCCCAAGAATCTCCGCTGCCTCTTCAATGGTGTTGATCGCCTCCTGTGTAGCTGGGAAGTACGGCAAGAGGTCACCAGCTCTGTCTTGTTCACACTCTTCTACAAGGCTACACAGACATCAGAGTAAGTGGCCTGCCCATGGCATCCTTTTTCCCTGTGGCACCTTTTCTCCTGCGTCTGACCATTCTTATCCCTGCTGATGTCAGCGTCACCTCATTTTTCCCTCAGAGAAAAGGAATGTTTGCCAGTTCATGAGAAGAAGTTGCCCAACATCCCATATGTATTGCAAAGCTGTGAGATCAGCGTTACCAATCCCAACCATATGTGCCAGTACAACATATCTGTCCGGCCCCAAAAGGTGGAGATGCAGATTGAACCCTCCAAGCACAGTAAGACTCTCTCTGCTGTAATAAACCTGGGATTCTCTCTTAGATTTTTTTCCCATGGATAGACAACTGATCAAAAAAGAGAAAAACAGGGAGGTTGACTGACTGAGAAAAATGCTCTGTAATGATGTGTGGAGGGGATAAATAGTCGGTAAAGGAATCTTGGTACTGGAGTGTCTGACTAGCATTGATAGAGCATTGCTCTGAGGAAGCTTGTAGTAGTGGAGTGTTGGTTTGGGCTGCCCAAAGGAAGCAGGAGGATACTACTAAGGATTCATAGGTGCTGATCCATTTCTCATCACTCAATGCTAATATTTTCACTGACCCCACTGGGTTTTGAATAATGCTCTGTTTTCTTGGCACCTTGGTTGACAGGGCATTGCCATTAGGAGGTGTCTTTTCTGATGCTCTCACAAGAAGTGGTTGGAACTAATTGTTTAGTAGTGCAATGGCTCACGTTATGTAGTGTTGAAAAGTTGGAATTCAGACGTGTTTGCTCTGAGTGATGGTATCAGGAATAAAGCAAACTATTTAAGTATCCTGAGTGGAAACCTGGAACAGCGAAAACCCCATCAGATATTAAAGTCTCTGTAAATGTTGATGACAGCTGAAGTAGGTTTGAATAGTGTGTTATTCTGTAATTGCATGTGAATGATGCCCACTAGGGCTGTGCGAAGCTATGGGTGGTGATTCGATTTGGAGGAGATTCAGCCCTATTTGGTGGCCAAATCTCCGAACCCGAATTGAATCAGGGGACCAATTTAAAGGTCCAAATCAATTCAAAGCTCTCCGAATCTTTGGAAAAGATTCGAAGAGCTTTGATGATTTGGGCTGTCCCTGGTGGCTACAGCAGGGAGATGCAGCCGGACTCCAAGCTGGTAAGTACTAGGGGTGAGGGAGGGTGGAGGGGACCATGGGGGGACCCCTACCAGACCCCTTTGCTCCCCCAGCCCCCTCACAGGTGCGCCGCCTAGGCCAGCTCTGGCCCTCTAAGAAACTGCCTCCCCCTGGGACTCACCTGTCCTGCAACAGCCTCGGGCCTTCAGGGACATGTGCATAACCCCCACATGGTGTGGGGCAGGGGGGGCAGCAGGGATTGCCCCAGCCGGCAGAAGCAATGAGTCCAGGGGGTTTTTTGGGGGGGAGTGGTTTTGGTGGACAAATCTCCAAACCCGAATCAAATCAAAGGACCCTTTAATCCCTCCGAATCGAACTGGAACCCTCCACATCGATTTGGAGAGATTTGGAGAGATTTGGCGATTTGGACATAGACACAGCTTTAAATGTTTTTTCTACATACCTCAAGATAGCAGGGGCTCATGAGTACTGTGGCACATGGAGTGTCCCACAGAAACACAGGGGTCTCCCCAGCATGCTCAGCAGCAGACCTGGAAGTGGACCAGAAGCACTTCCGGTCCACTTCCGAGTCCACTGGGGAGTGCATTGGGGGGGGGGCTGCACCTCCAAAGCTCGGTGACTGGTGCCTTTTGGGTCTGGGGGGGGCACCTGGGGTCCCCCTGTGGCTGATCGCCGAGCTGGGAGGGGTGCAGGGACCCCCCCCAGCACACTCCCTGGCAGACCCAGAAATGGCTCGGAAGTACTTTTGGTCCGCTTCCTGGTTTGCCGCTGAGCATGTGGAGGGCCCCCCTGCAGTCCTGCGGGATGCTCCACATGCCCCAGAATTGCAGCATTCATGAGCCACACTGGTACCTTGAGGCATGTAGAAAAAACATTTAAAGCTGTGTCTGTGTACAAATCTCTGATTCTATGAATTAGTGACGAATCTTCAGATTCAGATTTGGCCAAATTGAATCAGGGACAGTGATCTGAATCAACAAATCAAATCACTGTCTCTGATTTGGGCTGAATCCAAATCAAATAGGGCCTGCTTCACATACCCCTAGTTACTGAAGGCCCAGAATTAATTCTGGCAAAGGAATTAGAGCTTTTCAAGCAAAAGAAGTAACATAGTCCTGGATGAAATTTATAGATGGTGACTGGTGGTCTGACATCATTGGCATAGCAAAGAATCAGACAGAAACATTACAGGACAAATGACTTGAGACAGAAAGGCATGTAGAGGCCAAAGTTAAAACCTGCATTTGGAGCTGTAGACTCTGTGGAAAACAGCACAAGCTGAGACTATCCAAGACTTTCCAAGAGTTGGCTGTGCTAGATTGGGCAAAGAGGACAATAACACCATTAGCTCAGAGGAATTCTTGCCAGGAACAATGGACATGTTGCAGTAGACTATGAATACAGTATCACTCCAAATCCCAGAGGGCCAAGAAATATCTTAAGCAGACAACAGTCAAAACAAGCACTAATGTGTTTACCACCACCAAAGAGAAGCAGTGGTGATGAGCAAGGACCCTGGATTTCTCTGATAAAAAAAAATCCCCAATTTTCAGATTAAAGAAAGTAACCTAAAATCCACATTTTTTGGGTGATTAAAATGAAACACCACTAAAATATATATATATATAGTGATATTTCATTTTAATCACGCAAAAAATGTGAATTTTGGGTTACTTTTTTGAATCCTAAACTAGGGGATTTTTTTTTTATCAGCGAAAACCAGGATCCCTGGTGATGAGTCACGGGAGAGTTACAGGACACTTCAGAGACTAACTGAACACTGTTCATTAGTGGAAGTTACCTATCTGTCAAACATCTCAATGTACTAATCTTCATTATTAATTGGTCATATTCCCATAGTTAGCTGGGGAAGGACAATATGAGGAACTATGCCTTTAATAGGTTCTAACAAGAGCCCACTGGATGTGGTTGTTAGGTTGTTTAGAGCTTATAATACCCACTGCTAACAAAATACAATCTCTGCCAATAGGCTACTTACTGGCAGTGGTGGTGCTGATGTCTCAGGGGGAGACTTGCAGGTCCATGTACCAGTGCAGGGTACTTCAGAGAATAATTGCTGTTTTCCAGTTACTGGGTGTGACAGAACACCTTTGGTACCTGTCACTTTAAGGGCTTTGAGTTACAGCAGGGCACCTGGCAGGTGCAGGCCAGCCCTGATGAGGCAGTCACATGACCCAGCAAGAGGTCATGTGATTGCAGGGGAGAGATGAGCAGACTACATTTTAGCTCAGGCTCTCAAGGCTGGGCCAGGAGTCTGGTGCTGGCAACCAGCAGAACAACTTGTGGTTGGGCAGCTGCTCGGGAACACCTTGGAGGTAAGGGCAGGAGTTATAGGGATGGCAGGAGGTTCCTTATCCTGGGTGTGACTTGAAACTACACCTTGCTGGGGAAGGATGGCCTGGTGGGGCTGCCTGTGCTGGGGCAGCTCCCCAGAAATGCCAGACCAGTTGCCTTCCCAGTGAAAGGCAGGTAGGGGTGCCTTATAACCCTAGCCCCCACTACTCAGTGGTCTTAGAGCAGACAGTGGTGCCAGGCATACCGAAGGAGAGGCACCTGAGTCCCTGGGGGTGCAAGACCCCAAACCCCAGGAAGAGGCATAGAATTGGTCCCAGTGAGGGGTTAGAGAGTGGCCCCAGGAAGGGGAGCAGAAAGAACCTAGTGCCCAGTGAGGGGTTAGTGGCTTGAGTTGGCCTAGTTTTGTGCAAGGACCATCACCCATAAAGTAGGCTGCAGGAGGCACCTGAAGGGCTGTAGGGGATTGCCCTGAGTGGAAGTAGGCAAGCCTGATGGCTCGAAGAGGCCGCTCAAGAAGAGCAGGGCATGTTGGGAGAGGCCCAGTGAAGGGTGGCATGAATGAGGCCCTGTGAGAGGGGGCAGAGTGAATGAGGCCCTGTAAGAGGGGGCAGAGTGAGTGAGATGAATGTAACAGGCCCAGCAAGGGGCAGAGTTTGACCCAGCTTCTGGCCAGAGCAGCTAATAATTTTGGCTGCCATCTGTGAGGCATGGAACACAGTAAGGGGAGGTCAGAGCCATGTGTAGACCCCATGGTATGAGGGCATTAAATGGGTAGCCTCCTGCTTATTGTATTATTGAATAGCAAGTCATGGCAGACAAGACAGGGCAGCTGCCCTGGACAGAGGGGTGGGCTGGCACTGTAACTGGCCACATGATCTTCCCCCGTCTCACTGGGTTGCACATATGTTTCAAATTCTGTAATATCTCAGTGTTGCTCTGTAACATTGTTTGGCTAGAAGAGGAAGGCATAGGAGGAGGGAAAGAGGAAAAGGAAAATGTGCTTTTAAGAGAGCTGCATCTAGTTGTTAGGTTGTATAGAGCTTGTCTTAGAGCTGATCAGTATGATACCTTGCAGGTAGAGTTCTTGGCTCTCAGTGATCTCTGAAGAAAGTTGGTATGGAATGAGCAGGTAGAGAGAGATGTGCCAGGTGGAAGCATTTTCATTAGCCATTCTTGTCCTTCTTCAGACAAAATGCAACTTGGTCTTGGTAGCCACCCAGAATGCGTAAAAGCTGGAGGAGTGAAAAACTGGGTAAACAGGTAAAAGCTGGAGTGGGTAGGAAGATACTTGGACATGGGTATGGGGGTACATGGCTAAAATGTTCTTTGTCTTCTAGTTAAGGTGCCAGCACCTGTCAACCTGACAGTGACAAAAACAGAAGACCAGGAGTATAAACTGAGATGGGTAAAACATGCCCTACGATATACAGGCATAAGACAGACCTATGAAGTCTTGTACTGGAAAGCAGACCAGCCCTTGGAGGTAGGTGATTGTGGTGCTGGGTGACTGGGTCTCCTGGGAGATGTTGGATAGGAATGATAATTTTTCTTCCCCTCTTTGATCCATTCTCCTTTTCTCTCTTCAGCTTGCCAAGCCCAACAGAACCAGCACTGATGAGCCCTATTTGGTTCTTCTCCAGGACAGTTTGGAGCCATTAACATGCTATAGGGCAAAAGTACGGGCAAGGGTGCGTGCATCCTCCTCCTATAATGGCACCTGGAGCGAGTGGAGTGAGGAGCACACCTGGAAAACAGACCATGGTACCTCTGACATGGTGTTCTATGTCAGGGATTTTATTGAGAGAGTGGTGTGGTCCATAGGGGAAAAGTCCCCTGGGATGGGGCTTAGGGGGAGCCATGGTTTCCCTATATTAAATCAAGCAAAGATCCTTCCCAGAGGTTCCTTACTCCTGGCCCCATGCTTTAATTGTTAAATATGGGGTATATTGGAATGGGAGCCATGGATGTGAGGATGCTGCTAAAGGACAGCGTGAGAATCAGGGGTTGGTAGTGAGTGATCAGGATGAGGAATGACTCAAAAAGGACTGTTGTCTGTGATATATTAAAGTGTCTTGCATCAGTCTGAGCTCCACTTCTCCCAAGCAAGGTGAAGATCAGTTGGCCGTAACATTCCCCCCTATACACACGGGTAGTTTTTCTCTATACTGCAAACCCTGGAAGTATCAAGGTAATTACTGTTAAGGGGCATGACACACAGTGATTCCTAGTGAGCAAAGTTAACCTGAAAGTGGACGAGGAGGCAGGGTGAGAAATGCATGAATCTAAGCAGAAGAACGAAGAGCTTTCAAGTAAGAGGTGTGACCAAATACATTTGCAGACTTTCAAATGTTGATTTTTTTTGTGTAAGTTTGCGCAAGTGTCCTGGAATTATAATAGCTGTGGTCTCTATCTCTTTCTTTCTCCTTCATGTTACTGATATGTTCTCTCATTCTTAGGCTTGCTCCTTTTTAGTCTAAAAATTTAATTACTTTCTTAATAGTCCTAACAGGGGGCTGGGAAGAGTTGTCTCGGTAATTTTTTCTCTCTCTCCTTTTTTGTTCTCAGTTTTGGCACCATATGTACTCATATGTATTGCCATATTCTTCACCATCATGTTGGTAGCAGTCGGCTGGTACAGCTGTAAATATCTTCTCAGGTAAGTCTGTACTGTTTGGTGAAGGGATTTTCCGGGGGCCATGGCAGAGTGAGTGATCCTCCATGATCACCTTAGTTCAGCCCTGGGGTACAGCAGGGAGCTGTATCTGTGACTGGAAGATGGGGTTAGTGCAGTGTCCTGGAGGCTCGGTGCCTCCATGGTGTTATGGTGGCCCAGGGCAAGGCTGTGTGCTTGATGCAGCCTTTGCCTCCCAGCATCCACAGACCATGTGCCAACTCTGCATCACTGTTGTTGTTGTTGCAGCAAGAAGAAGAAATGGGAGGAAAAGATTCCCAATCCCAGCAAGAGTCAGCTGGTGCAGGGCTTCTTCCAGGTAAGAGGGGGCTGCATGCTGCAGAGTTGCACCTGGGAAGAGGGAGGAGGAAGGAGGGCAGGCTGCCTTGGGCCTTCCTGCTAGGGGAAGCAGCCAGTCTGGAGTCTGCCCACTCACAACCCCCAGCTGGCGGGAATTGCTGAGGATGCTGTGGGCAGAGTGGATACTGCAGACAAGGCCTTTGGTCTCTCATGTCTTTCACCGTGCTTCAGTGGTCAAATCTGAGGTTTTAGACTTAAAGGGTCCCACCGCCTCCCCACACACAGTCTCCCTATTTATTCTGCAGTATTTCTTCCCCAATCTGTATTTTTATTACCTGTTACTGGGTGAACCTCATGAGGTGAAAGAGGACAAAAGGATCTATGCAAGCTTCAATGTCCTGTGCTCAATTATTTTTAAGGGTAAAGATCTTCTCCCAACATTCACATTTCCCAGGCAGGATCAGCATAGTGCTTGATTTTTTTGGACCCAGGGTAGGCATTGCTCCTATGGGCTGTGGAGGGATAAGACAGTTGGATGAGTCATCATCATCCTGCCCCAGCCCATGGAACAGTCCATCTCTTTGATAGGCATCTGGCTGGGGTCATCTGACCCCAGCACTCTTTCCTGCCCAGGGCAGGGGGTCAGACTCAATGATCTGTTGAGGTCCTTTCCAACCCTAGCATCTATGAATCTATGACACTTGACTGATCTAGGATGATGGAACTTGTCTAGGTTCCCTTGCTGAAGACAATCCCTCCACTCCTCTCCTCTCCCTGAGCTTGTTTCTGGCAGTATAATTCATCCCTGATGCTTCTGCCAGATCTGTCTGTGGTCCTTTCCTTGGTCCTATTTGTGTGGTGTCTGTGTGCCCCACAGTCTTTAATAGTTTTATCCTCATACTGCCTTAAAGAGTGGAAGTCTGTGAAGTCACTTATCCAAGGCCACGCAGGAAATTTGAAGCAAAGCATGGACTAGGCAATGATCCTAAGCATTGTGGGTCACCCCTCCCATACTCATATGCACAAATTTGTCCTGCAGAGATGAAACAGCCATCTCTACAGGACAAGCTTTCAATACTGTGCTGGACTATAATCCCACTTTCATTATCCTAGCTATTTTTGCCACTGTGTATTACTTTGCACAGCTGGACTTCCTCTTTCTCTCCTGCTGATCAATCTCCCAATGCATTTAATCCTGCCTGGAGAGTCTTTGAATTTTGTTAAGTTCTACCTAACTGAAATAAGGTGGTTTCATCAGCAAACTTCACCACTTTGCTGCCCAAACCTAGCTCCAAAGAAATAACACTTTTTTTTTTTTTACATAGAACACGCTCCCAAATATAATATACACCTTGTTTTTGAAAGGTAGACTTAAGAAAAAAGATAGATATAGCTATAGATATATATTTTGTGTTCCAGGTCAAATTAACCAAATCAGTTCCAAATCATACTGACTGAGCAGAACTCAATCATTCCAAAAACCATATCGACTGAGCAGGCAGAACTCAATCACTCTAAACACTGTGTATGGTGCTACAGCTGGGGAGCATCCTTCATCCCACACTCTCACCCAGGGACTTCAGATACTCCAAAACCATTGGCAGGCATCCTACATGCAGGCTCAGTCCCAGAGGTCTTGGGATTTGGATGTCCCCATCTGCACTTGATCTGAGCCAAAAGGCTGAGAAGCGATAGATATATGATTTTGAAAAGAGCTGAAGAGTCTTAACTAAAGAGGCTGTGAAATAGAGAGACCAGGAGCACACAGCAGAATTACCCTAAGAAAGGTTACCTTGATTAGAGGAACATTTAGACCATTTAAAAAGAGAAACAATTGTTGACACCTGTAGAGTGAAGAACTATGAGCAATTGACTCCCTCAGCTGCCAGAACAATAATACCACAGCTGCTGCACTGTAGAGCATGAATCAAACCAGGGTATTTCCAACCCTAGGGCAGCAAATCGGCTTCCAGGCTTAACATGTGCAGCCCCAATTTGGGGGACTGATTTTTGGAGAAAAGGCATGTGTTGTAGGTGAGAAAATATGGTAATTCATACTGGGTCTAGGACTGACCCTTGGGATAAGTCGCTGGGAACCTCTCTTTGCTCAGAGGAGCAGCTGTTTCATAATGACCAGCCATTTCTGATCACTTAACTTATTTGGAAGCCAAAATTGGACCTTCTTCTTTACCCCATAGTTTCAAATGTCACTTTAGATGTCTTTTCTTATCCAAAGCTTTCCAACACCCAGGACACAGGGTGGGCTATCACTATGTTGTTATGATTTTTCTGTCTCCTGCCCCTACCAGCTGTGTTCCCCATAGCCTCTGCAAGGCAGAGCTGCCATTGCACTAAGTAGCAGCACCTGCCTACACAGTTGCTGCTGACTCCTTGAGTAGAACTGCCATTACACACGCTCCCCGGCATGACACACAGGGCAGAGACGGGCGATGTGGAAATGTAAGAAAGAAAAAATAGACTTGGCAGAAGCACCAGGAGCAGCACTTACTTTGGTGTATGCCTGCCTGCATCTAGGGATCTTGGCTCTCTCTTGCTATCAAGGGATCTCTGCTTCCTGAGGATGTGCTGCCACTGTAGTTTTTCTTTTCAGAAGGTATCATTAAGAAATCAGCTGCCCAGCAGCCTGCCAGACTTCAACAGGGAGAACCATTTGGTGAAGGAGCAGGCCAACTCCCTGCAAGTGCTGGATGGGTGAGTGAACATTGTACTGATGAGTTGGTGATCGTGCTCTCCACCATGTCCTGAGTGCCCCCAGGATCTCAGCATGCCTGGTGATGGCTGCTTCTATCAGGGAGGAGGTGTAGCAAGAGGCTTGGTGTGCTTGCTACTTTTAAGAGAAGGCAGACTGCAGATGAAGCAGTCTGCAGGTGCTGCAGGACGCAGTCAGGCATCCCATGATCCAAAAGGGGGCTGGGCTTGCAGGATATAAGCCCAGAGCCTGAGCTGGAGTGGGGGTCTAATCCTGACAGTCAAGATGCGAGGACTTTCTGGGCATCAGGGCTGCACCCGGGCTCCTGCCATCACCTGAGCTGGGGTAAACAGACTGGTGGTTTAGGCACAGAGACAAGGGGAGGCAAGGTGGTTTCAGTTGGCCCAAAAGTGGGGCCGGGGCCCAAGCGGTAGGGGCCAGGGCTGAAGAGCAGGGCCATAGCCAAATGGTCGTGAGAACAAGGAGGGTCAGGGACCCATAGCCTGCAAGGTGAGAGGCAGAGTCAGGGACTCCTAGCCCAGGAAGGGTGAGCAGGGCTAGGGAGTCTGGAGGTCTCAACTGACCTAGGAGCAGGGCCAGAGCCTGAGAAGAGGGATCAAAGGCCGAGGAGGGCCACAGCTGGAGACCATCAAGGTCAGGGACTGACAGCCCAGAGAAGGGTGGAGTCAGGGCCAGGGGCCCTGTGCCTCAGGGACCCAGGGCTGTACCCAGGAGTAGTCAAGTTGGGGAAGTACCCAGGTTGGGCAGAGAGAGACAGCTAGATAGCAAATGGTGACATCAGCGAGGTATAGGCATGGTATAAGGGGCATTTGGGGCCATGTTATAAGCCCTTAAAGCAAAATAGAGACACTTGAATACCAACATGGGATTGGGGATCCCTGGGGAAACCTCCTTTTCCAAAGATGTATGAACAAGAAGGCAAGACAGGGGAGGTGAAGGGGAGTTAGTCTGAGGAGTGAGGGCAGAATAGGGGTTGAGTGGCCACCAGTGGGGCATCATGGCCTGTTACAGGGGGTGGAACATTTAACTCATGTTTGACCTCAGCATGTCCTCTGTGTGGCCATATGGAGACATCAGTGAATGGATGTGCAAGTTCTGGGTTCTACTACACACAGAAAGATAAGGAAAAAGCATGGCCCTCACATTATCTTGGCTACCCCTCTGGAGACAGCTTTGCATAAATGCCCTTGGTTTCCCAATCTGGAAAAAGTCATGCATAACCCACCACCATAAACTAACCCATATCCTGCCTCCTCTTATCAGGTGGACATGACAGTCTTTCTTGCTCTTGAAGCTGATTCTGGCTCTCATAGTATAAAGGAGCCATAAGGGAAATGCAGTGGCCACAGGAGCTGTGTAGGGTCAGCAGAAAACTGCCCAGTGGTGCCAGTCCCACAGCTCTGGGTTTGGGGAGCTGCAGAGGCAGAGAGAGGATGTGGACTTAGTGTTCCAGCCAGGGAAGTTAGAATAAGTTAGAATAACCCCTGGGCTCAGATAAGAGTTCTGTCTTTTAGGGAGCAGGTGCCCAGCTATTTTTGGTGCCTTGGGTTGGGCATCTGACACCTCTAGGCGGGCTTGGGAAACATGAGCTATTCAGGCTGTTTGTTATAATCTCTCTCTCATCTTCCCTGCTCCCTCCCTTCATCCAGCTTTTTGTTCAGGGTCAGTAAGATCCTTGTGGCAGGGACACTTTATTCTCTAAACATTAGGGCTGTGCCAAGCTTCAGTCCCTGATTCGATTTGGTGGATATTTGGCCCAAATTGGTGGCCGAATCCCCAAATCCAAATCAAATTGGAGGACCCTTAATCTCTCTCAATCAAATCGGAACCCTCCGAATTGATTCGGAGAGATTCAGAGATTCAGACATAAAGGCAGCTTTAAATATTTTTTCTACATACCTCTAGGCAGCAGGGGGGCTCTGAACACTGTGGTGCTGGGGCACATGGAGTGTCCCACAGGAGCACTGGGGGCTCCCTAGTGCACTCGGCAGCAGACCCAGAAGTGGACCAAAAGCACTTCTGGTCCACTTGCAGGTATGTTAGGGAGCACACAGAGGGGCTCCCCTGCATCTGCCCGGCTTGGCGACTGGTGCCTCCTGGGTTTGAGGGGGCACCTGGAGTCCCCCTGTGGCTGATCACCAAGCTGGGGGGGAGGGGGAGGAGGTGGTTGGAGGGATCCCCCTGCATGCTCCCTGGTGGACCAGAAATACTTCCAGTCCACATCCGGTTCACTGCTGAGCACGAGGAGGCCCCCGCCACATCCCTGCACTCCTGTGCGATGCTCCATGCACCCCAGCGACCATGAGCCACGCCTGCTACCTTGAGGTATGTAGAAAAAACTTTAAAGCTGTGTCTACGTCCAAATTGCTGATTCTCCAAATCAGCATCAAATCTTCAAATTCAGATTCAGTTGAATCGAATCGGGGACAGTGATCCAAATCAACAAATCAAATCACTATCCCTAATTCAGGCTGAATCCAAATCCGTGTCAAATGGAGCCCACTTCGCACACCTCTACTAACCATGTCTGTGAAGTGCCAGGCAGTAGGGCTGTGCAAAACGGCACCATTCTGTTTTGCCTTGAGTTTCGAAGTTTCGACAGAACAGCTTTCTGTTTCAAATTTCGTTTTGATTCAAAACAGCTGTTCCATTTTGCTTCATTGAAACAGTGAGGCTGTTTCGACGTTTTGCTAGATTGGACTGGGGGCGGGGAGTCAGATCAGCTGGGCTGACTTTCCACCCTCCGCACTACATCGGACCGGTGATGTGACTCCCCATCCCCCTGCACTACATTGGACCAGGGATGGGGTGTCAGCCCCCAGTCTGATCTAGCTCTGGGGATGGGAAGTCAGCCCAGTTGGGCGTCCCCTGCTGGATCTTGCACCAGGGATGGAAAGACTGACTTCCCCATCTCCAGCGTTATGGTCGAAACATTTCGACGTTCAAAACGTTTCAACTACCTCGTTTTGTTTCGAGACTGCTTCGATGCCCTTTGTTTTGCTTCGATTTTGCTGTTTCAACCTTGAAATGAGTCAAAACAGCGTTGAAACGAAATGGCCATTGAAACTTCACACAGCCCTACCAGGTAGTTATGCAGCTACATAAATGCAGAGGTTGGTGATCACATTCTCAAAAGGGTGACAGGCAGCTTGGTCCATGTACCATGGGAATGTGGGAATCCTCACTAGTCCACGTAGTCCAGGGTCATGTCACCACAAGACAAGAGTGCTAGATGCTCCAGAAAGAAGTGCAGGAAACCCTGCCATGCAGGGAAAGATTCTTTCTGCCCCCCAGAAGCAGTGTTGCCAACTCTCATGATTTTTGGCATTGTTCTTAAAGTCGGCGCTTCAGGAATGTGAAAAACTTTCCTCTTTCTTTTATATATATTTGGAAGAGCTAAGTTGTTCACATTCCTGAAGTGTTGACTTTAAGAACAATGCCAAAAGTCATAGGAGTTGGCAATACTGCAGAAGGTTCTCTGCTGCCACAGCTCAGCTCAGCTCAGTTCAGTGCTGCTCAGCGCCTGTCCATCTGCAACATCTTCTGCAGGTTACCTCTCCTTAGCACCTGATTCCTTTTGTTTTTTGTGGGTTTTTTTTCTTGACTGCAGGGAGAAGATTATTTCAGCAACGTCCCCAGGAGCTGAGGCATCAAAGACTAAGTTGTCTTATATTGTGCTAGACCTAAAAAACCAGCATCAGTTTTCTCCAGTGTCAAGTCCTGCTTCACTTCCTTCATCCCCATTTGATAGCATCTCAAATCAAAGTACCAGTCAGTCCTCCTCACCAACACTGCTTACCAGTGTTGGTGCCACTAAAGCAGACACTGCCACTCAAAAGCCTACGACCCACTTCAGTTATAATGGCCCATACTTGTTCTTCCCTTCTGGTCAGTCGCAGACCAATACCCACCAGGACCTTGGAGCTTCTCCAGTGAGAATAAAGGAGAACCCAGTGTCCCTGGAGTATGTGTCTGTACCACAGAAGGGCTGTTTCCAGTTCCCACTGTTGCAAAAGACAGGGGCAACTCACCTCCATCCTTTTGCATGTTTGGACCAGAAAGAGAAGAAGCATCCAGTTGCGGAAGGGCAAGATGCATTACAAGACCAGCCAGTAGGTGAGGAAGGGGTGAAAGAGAAAAGAGAAGGTCAGAGGTCACCAATTGCTGTCCCCGTTATCGGCTCCTCTCAGAAATGCCCATTGGGGTACATCACCACTGAAGGTCTGTGCTTACCTCCAGCAAAAGAATCTGTTAGTCTCTCACCTTCCCTAGACCCTCAGGAGCAGATGCTCACTACTGCTGGCACATTAACTTCCAACTCCCAGCTGCCCCAAGCCACGGATTACACCTCCAGCCCAGCATTACCCTCTGGGAGGTCTGGTGTCTCACTCCCAGTTCCAGTTCAAGCATCAGACACTCCTCCTGGATCACAGCAGCCTGAACTGGGGAGCAATATAACACTCCCACTCGGCCTCCCCAAATGCATCAGCCTTTCCCCCTCTGCTTTACTGGAGGGGGTTGCACAAGAGAATGATCTGGTCACATTTAACCCTGATGGTGGCAGACCAGTTTTCCTATACCAAGTGGGTGAATATTGCTTCTTCCCTGGCCTCAAACCCAGTGAGAAGACCCCCCTGAGTCAGAAAGCCTCCTTAGCCAGTAAGCTTTCAGAAGACAGTGGGGTAGATGGAAAGCCTGTATGTGATGGAGGATCCACCAACAGCAATAGAGATGATGCACTTTGCATGCAGGCCAGAACTTTTCAAAGCCCAGAAAACTGATGATTACTTTGGTGGACAGCAGCCTGCTGTGAGGGCCAGGGAACTGTGCTAAAGCTGAGAGGGTGGGAGGGGACAGACAGATATCAAGACACTGGGTGACTGAATGTAACTGCAGCTTTCAAGGAATATCAATTCTGTTGTGTTCCCCATCGTTCTACCATTGCCACATGGGAGGAATGACAATGGGCAGTTCTTCTCCTCAGGTCTCTGCACTTCCAAAATGGATGAAAGATTTCAAATAGCACCAGCTCCTCTTCTATACTGGGTGTGTCTGTATGTGCATTTACTGCGCAGTAAGTGGTTTTTATGCTGGCATCTACATGTGCAGGCATTATAGTGCAGTAACACTGTGTGTGGACTGATTTGGGATTAAAGTGAGTCCCAAGTCAGTTCACACAAACAGATGTAAGACATCTACATGTGCCTTACTGTGCAGTAGCTAGTCAGGTGTAAATTTGCTACCTGCATCATACAGGTAGCAAATTTGTGCCTAAGTCAGCTAAGTTGCTGTAGTTACTGCATAGTATGGGTGCCCATACTGCACAGTAGATGTGTGCCTGTACTGCGCAGTAATTTTTGGTCACTGCTCAGTAACGGTGCATGTGTAGACGTGCCCACTGTCAGTGTAATTAAGTTGGGGAATAAGCCACATATTCCCATATGGAGGAATTTTATGCATTCACACAGCTCTTGCCCCCTTGCTACAAGCATGTTAATGTAGCCCTTCTGCCAGTGAGAAGCACCAATTTTGATTATCTTTCTAAAACTTAAATGTATACCTTTTCCAGTTCTTGCTCAAGCTAGGGAAATAAATTATACTGCTTGGGTTCCTTCAATGAGCCATATTTCCCATTGCCAAGGAACAAGTCAATAGGCACAGAACAAACAAAACCTTATGGGAGAACATGATAAAGCTGGGAAAACCAGACTAATTAGTCACAATATTAGATGACAGTCCTGATCCAGGATGTTCTGGAGGCAGCCTAACTATAGTATTCCTCTCAGTTGTGGATGGCTAATGAGTTTGTTCACCTCATCTCTTCCATTAATTCCCTACCTGCAGTATGCTGCCTAGGTTTGGAGGAATCCAAACTCTTGGCAGGTCCATCTCTTGTCTTTAAGGTATGTGCCAATCTGGGGGCTGACTATAACTCCAAGCTTTGGTGCTAGGCAGGGAAGCTCTCACTGGGGTCCTGCAGAAAAGCTAATGCTCTTGGCAGCTTCAGTCCACAGATTCTCAGTTCCACTCACCTCTGCCATACCCCAGAAATGCTCATCAACTCATGACATCTGTTCTTTATCACTGTGCTGTTCACTTACATGTGAGGAAGATGTCTGGTGGTATGGGGCTTTTAGCTTTGCTTTTGGTGGTTACAGGACCCAGACCTGAAGCTTTTAATGGTTTAAAATACTATTTGCCCTGTATTAAATTGTATTTAAACACTTAAACCCATAATTGAAGAGCTTCTGTGATTTGATTGCCTGCAGATGCCAGGAAGAAACCTCTGTATAATTCCTCTTGAAGGCATAACTTGGTTTGGTGGTGGCATTTGGAGGCAGGCTGGTTTGTATTAGTACTACAATTGGCATGAAGAAACTTCTCAGGTGCCTGGCTGGAAGGTCTGATCCATGTGCTCAAGATTAAACTACTCACTGGTATGGGGGCCATGAAGAAATTTCTGCCCAGTATTAGAATGGCAGGGACTGTTGGGGTTCTTCTTCTCCTGTAGGTGAGGGTGCCATAGTCCTCATCCTAAAATCACTGGCCATTGCAGGGCTCCTTATTTTTCACGCTCCCTTCCTATGGCCTGCTGTCCTTTTTTGGGGGGTGGGGGGCAAGGGGGTTGTACTAAAGACCTTTGTTTGTTAGAAAATGTTTTATAACACTTTGAGGATGATGGGTCTGTGGGAGGGAAGAGAGTGGATGTTCTTCTTCTACAAGTTTGCCGGTAAGTGCAGGGGGCGGGACTCTGTGATCTGGTTCCTTCCTATATTCCCTTATCCCAGGTCATTTGATGCATCTCTCCTGTTCATTCTCCATCCAGCACATACAATAGCATTTTATCACCCCCCGATTCACAACTCAGCTGTATATTAGCCAAAATGTCCCGGTCTGTGCCATACATGAAATGCAAACACAGTCTGCCCCATACGGTCCTTTCCCCTTGAGGGTCAACACATGCTAACAAAGAATTCCTTCCTCCTGCAGGTCTCTGTTCAGCTGCAATTGTCTGTGTTGCTCTTCCACCCACTCACTGATATGTGACAGTGAGCTCCCCATTCTTTTGGGTCTATAGGACACCAGGCTTGTATCAGCCTTGCTGTGTGGTCATGCTGCAAAATGTAATTGACTTCACTGCAAACTGCACAACATGAAAGTCAAAGATCATGCAATGTTTAAGACTGGCTTGAGCCCCTAGAATGAAATCCTTCTCATTCTTAAAAGGGAGATGTTTATTCAAGGAGGCAAAATCATCTGGCTGATAGATGTAGGAATCATACAGGAGCAGTATGGGAAGCAATTTACATGCTGCAGGGTACACAAGATGCTTTACTGCACTTCAGACTAATGTGCAATAAAACATCACCATCTACGTGTGTATCAATTACTACACATTAAATTAGTCTAATGAGCCATTTGCTAGTGCCAATACATACAGGTACTAGAAAAATGGCTCATTAACTAATATGCTAAAATGCATCTGTAGACGCTGACCGAGAACAATTTGTTCCTGGTCAGCCCAGGCAGCGGGGGGACACAACTGCTGTCTGGCTAAGCCCCAATCTCTGCAGGGTGCAGTCAGCTGTCCTGGCTTTAGAGTAGTTCCCTACCAGTCATACGGAAATTGGGGCCAACCCTGATCTCCGCATAGCTAGGAAGGAGCTGTCCTGGATCTGAGACAGCTCCCCTCACCCCTTGGAGATGAGGGCCAGCCCCAATCTCTGCACAGCTGGCAGGGAGCTGCCTTGGAACTGGAACAGTTCCCCTCTCCCCCTGGAGTCCAGGCCTGACCACCATGTTCCCTGCCGGCCTGGAGCTAGCACCCAGGGGAACCTGGAACTCCCCCTGGCTGCTGCAGAGGGCAGAGCAGGGCAGGAGCAGCCTTGGACTGAATTGCTTCCATCATGAGCAAGTTTGCTACTGACGGATGCACATTCAGATGCATGCCCAGGCACAGTTTAATGTGCCTGAATTTTCTACACAGCAAATTTAGGCAACATTAATTGGACATGTAGATGTGCCCACAGTGTAGGAACCCACAGAAGTGAGATGGCGACTATCCCAAGTAGCAACAAGAATTATTGAGGATGGTACAAGAATGGTTAGAAGATAAAAGGTGAAACAGAAACAGGAATTCATGGCTTGCAGTAAGGAAACCTTTCCTAACTGAGAGGTGTAATATAGGGTTACCATATTTCCAGTTCCAAAAAAGAGAACACCTATTGTGCTGGTGGGGGAGAAAGGTATATGATTGTGGGGGGGTAGTGATATACTGGTGCCCTGCCCCTGACTGTTTTGTTGCCCCTCGCTCCCAAGCCACAGCCCCATCCATCCCTGCTGGTGCCCCTCATTCCCAAGCCACAGCCCCCTGCTCTCTCCAGCTCTGCAGTGTCTCCTGGCTGCCCTGCCCCTGTGATCAAGGGCACCAGCCATCATGTTGCTGGCTCAGTCACACAGCTCCCTGCTGCCCTAAAGACTCCTCCCTGCCCCCTCCACCCACTGGAGGGGCAGGCACCTTCCCTATTGCCCTGCTGCATCCCCAATGCCTGAATAGTTTCCCCCAGCACTGGCAGGCACCCGTCCCCCATCACATGCCCATCCCCTCACACATCCTGCTACACACACACCCACATCCACCCCCACCCTGCCACACATAGATGTGCACACCGTTCTCCCCACAACTCCCCAGGCAGTCCTCAAGCCCTGGCCCTCCAACCCCTGCTCCCACAAACTTACCTGCTTCCAGCTGCTGGGGCTGCTTCTACCACCCTGCATGCTGGCCATGTGCATGTGCGCGCTCCCCCCGACCACTGCCCCCAGCCCCAAGCAGCTACTTGCTACGGCAAGCCAGGAAGTGCTGGGAAAAACTTTGAAGCTGAGCTGAACAAAATCCTGGACATTTGATCATATTTTAAAAAACCGCCCGGACAGAGATTGGAAGATCCAAAAAGAGGACGTGTCTGGGAAAACCCAGATATATGGTAACCCTAGTGTAATTTCCTGTAGAGTAATCTCCAAAGGGAAGCACAAGGCTCCCACTACAGGGATACACAAAACTAGAATATAATTTCAGGAAAAACTGTGTGGGGAATATGCTCTGCAGATAGACACGCCAGAACCCAATGGTCCCATGTAGCTCTAATTGCTAAAATACTGTATTATTTTATAGAATCATAGAAAGTTAGGGTTGGAAGGGACTTCAGGAGGCATTTTCATTTCAGGATTTACTGCCTTCAAGGGCATTGGCTGTTCCTAGATTATTATAAAACATCTAAATGGGCTGCTTTAGCAGCATTTGTAAGGTATTAGTTATGCCAAAGAAAGAAAATCTGTTTGTCTATTGAATCTGTATTACAAAAGTTTTGCATCTTAAAAACACAGCTGCCACCTAGTGATCTGACCTTGGAAAATCATCTAGGTTGATGGTTTGTCTACACTGCAGGCTGCAGGGTACAGCAAGGGTAACTCAAATAAACATTAAGCAAGCTAGCTCAGGTACTGCTTTTGTCAACAGAGAGTTCTGCAAGGGTACTTTACCTGGCTGAAGCAGAATGTATTAGCCCATGCCGAGATGTGGTAGTACAGGCAGACTGTTCCAAGGGTGGTGGTATGGGCAGACTGTTTCCAATACCTGAACCAACTTATTTAAAACGTGAGCTTGGTTATCTTTGTACTACACTGAACTCTGCAGTGTACACATAACCTTGGATATGTCATCTGCCCTGTGACATGTTTGGGTCTGACTTCAGTGCACCGTGTGTGTCAGGGTTGTTGAGGAGAGGAAGACTAATTCTTCCTACTGTGTTAAATGGATGCTGCCTCTTCACCACTGTGTTTGATACAGTCATTCCTTTGGATAATGTGAAGTCTTCTAAACAGCATTTCAGATTCTACATGTGTGGAGAGTGAATCTAGTGCTCTTGAATGCAGGAGGCTGATGGCACCACCATGAGTCACCCAGAGTGTAGATGGAGAACTGTCCAAAAAGGGAGGCTGGCAACAAGGATGATACACTTGGATACTCCCATTTCTGGGGGGGCCCAGATTGGCTGATTTTGGGTACTGGATGGTTTTTATATAAAACTTGGAAAAATCACTGTGTTAAAACCACAATAGGGCTAACACTACTTTTCTTAAAATATAGAAGTGGAACTAAAACCAGCCCTGATTCAGTTGCCACAAAGAGGTATGTGGATGTTGGGGTATGGAGCAGGGCCTGACTTAAGAACTTGTCCCCAGCCTAAAAATGAGCTGGAGGCACTGTGTAGCTGGATGCCTCTAAGTTTTCCCAGTCCAGCTCACTCCTGGTTTATTGCTCTCTTTGCTTGTCTCACCCTGGATTTTTTAAATGGGGAGAGAAGGCCATTTGTACCTTGGCTTACTATCCTCCATGTGTTGGCATGTACCAACTCATCCCAGGAACTGGGTACACAAGCTGTGTATCAGCCTAACGCATCCCCAGCTGTTCTGGTTTTTTGGTACCCTGGCAATTCTTGGGCCTTAATTCCATGCTCATGGAGGTCAGGGTGAGAGCTTTCAGTCCATTCCCTGGTTTTTTTTTTTATAAGGACCATAAAGTGCCTTGAGGCTGTGCTCTCCACATGGAGCTGCCCTTGGCCACATGCACCTTACTACTTGAATGATGGTGGAGCTCTGAATGTTGAGACCTGGCACCCTCTGTACTGAAGCACAAGAAAGCCTCAGAGATCTCCACCAGCTGCCCTTTGACCATCTCTGGCAATATGTGACTAATTTTTTCTCCCTAAACCCAAACAGCCATGAACTTCAGAATGCTTAAGGGTTAATTATTGCTGGTGAAGGATAATCTGCCCATCATTATCACTGGTTACATTTTAACCTCCTATGCTTGCAAAAGTGCTCCTTTGCAGTCAGTGAGCTCTGACCTCAACCCACCCATGCCAGAGACTGGAGAAAAGCCTTAATTCAAGTTGGGAATCAGTTCATATCTGAGGGCAAAAAAATCAATGTTTCCAACTCTGGGTGACAGGGCTGGGGCAGGAGGGAGAAAGAGGCCAGGGAGTTCCTGCCCACTTGCTATCTTGTGATCCTTTGGGCAAGTCAGTGCACTGTACAGGGCTCAAAAGGACTAGAAGCCTCTGGGTTCTGTGAGAAGCCCCCCTGAGAAAAGGGAGAGGATCTGATGAAATCCCCACATAAGCAACACTGAGCACCCAGCCAGTGAACAACATTCAGGCCTGTTACTATTCCTGGTTCATCTCCACCCTTATGCACTGGGATTTCTCAGATTAGGGACAGCCACCCAAACAGCACCATAGGTCCTTTTCAGTGGTATCATGAGCATGCACCCACTTTGTATTTATCTCAAATTAGTAAATGTTGTAAATGAAATAAATGTTATTGATGAAAGCAGGTCCCAATCCAGAGAAGTTTGAGAAACACTGCAATGGATCTATCCCCATTTGGTTTTCCCTTCTTTGGGAGATGGATCTAGATCAATGGTTCTCAAACTTTTTAAACTCATGCCACTCCTTGTTAGACTTGAGGCATCCCTTGGAAAATGCCAGCTCTTTCTTAATTTTACTTGGTTTTTTGTCTATGGAAATACAATACAGCAGTTTTTCTGCAGTAAAGAACACAGTTCACAGCCTGTCATAAACTCATAGAAAGTTAAGGTTGGAAGGGACCTCAGGAAGTCATTAGTCCAACCCCCTGCTCAAAGAAGAAGCAGCTCCAAACTACATCATTTCAGGTAAGGCTTTGTCTACCCAGATCTTAAAAATCCCCAAGGATGGAAATTCCACAACCTCTCTGGATAGCCTGTTCCAGTGTTTTACTACCTTCCTCATGAGAAAGTTTTTTGTAATACCTAACTTAAACTTCCCTTGTTGCAACTTGAGATCATTGCTTCTTGTTCTGGCATCTGCCGCCACTGAGAACAGTCCAGCTCCATCCTCTTTGGAACCACCTTTCAGGTAGTTGAAGGCTGCTATCAAATCCCCCCTCACTCTTTTCTTCTCTAGACTAAAAATTCTGTTTCCTCAGTCTCTCCTCAGAAGTCATGTGCCCCAGCCCCCTAACCATTTTCGTTGCCCCCTGCTAGACTCTCTCCAATTTGTCCACATCCTTTCTGTAGTGGGGGGCCTAAAACTGGACACAATACTCCAGATGTGGCTTCAGCAGTGCTGAATAGAAGGGAATAATCACTTTGCTTGATCTTCTGCTCCTGTTAATGCAGCCCAGTATGCCATTACCAATCTTGGCAAAATGGGCAAACTATTGGCTCTCATTCAGCTTATTGTCCACTGTGACCCCCAGGTACTCTTCTGCAGGGCTGCTGCATAGCTAGTTGGTCCCCAGCCTGTACTAATGCATGGGATTGTTTCATCCTTAGTGCAGGACTTCACACTTGTCCTTATCAAATCTCATGAGATTTCTTTTAGTCCAATTCTCCAATTTGTCAAGTTCTCTCTGAATTCTAGGCCTACCCTCCAATGTATCCACTACTTCTCCCCTCTCCCCACCAGCTTGGTGTCTTTTGCAAACTTGCTGAGAGTGCATTCCATCCCATCTCCCAGGTCACTGAAGATACTGAACAAAACCAACCCCAGGACCGACCCCTGGGGCACTCTACTTGATACCAGCTACCAACTAGAGTTCAAGCCATTGATTACTACTCTCTGAGTCCAATGATCCACCCAGTTTTCTATCCACCTTACTGTCCATTCATACAACCTGGACTTCTTTAGTTTGCTGATGAGAATGTTGTGGGAGACGGTATCGAAGCCTTGCTAAAATCAACGTATACCACATCCACTGGTCTCCCTACATCCAAAGAGCCAGTCAACTCATTATAGAAGGCAATCAGGTTGGTCAGGCATGACTTGTCCTTGGTGACTCAATGCTGACTGTTTCTGATTACTTTCTTCAGCTCCAAGTGCTTAGAAATGGATTTCTTGAGTACCTGGTCCATGATTTTTCCAGCGACTGAGGTGAGGCTGACCGGCCTGTAATTCCCCAGATCCTCCTTCTTCCCTTTTTTAAAGATGGGTGCTGCTATATTTTCCCTTTTCCAGTCACCCAAGACCTCTCTCAGTCACCACAAGTTTTCAAAGATAATGGCCAGTGGCTCTTTAATTGCATCAGCCAACTCCCTCAGCACCCTCAGGTGCATCACATCTGGCCCTATGGACTTGTACATGTCCAGATTTTCTAGTCTCTAACCTGTTCTTTCACCACTGTTGGCTGCTTACCTCCTCCCCACACTGTGCTGTCAGATGCAGTAGTCTGGGAGCTGACTTTGCCTGTCAAGACTGAAGTGAAAAAGGCATTGAGTACTTCAACCTTTTCCAGATCATCTCTCACTAGGTTGCCTTCCCCATTCAGTAAGAGACCCACATTTTCCCTTTTCTTGTTGTTGACATGCTTGTAGAAACCCTTCTTGTTACCCTTCATATCCCTTGCTGGCTGCAACTTCAGTTGTGCTTTGGCCTTCCTAATTTCTTTTCTGCATACCTGAGCAATACTCTTATACTCCTTCCTAGTTGTTTGTCCAAGTTTCCACTTCTTGTAAGCTTCCTTGTCAGAATGTTTCCTGTTTGAAATCCTTAGGCTGATCTTATGAATCATGTGTGAGCACCTAACAGTGGTAATATTGTGTAGCACCTTGTGTCACCCTAGATAGATTCTCAGGGCACCCCAGGATGCCACTGTAGTCTGTTTGAGAATTTTTGTTCTAAATGGTAGCTCACATGTACTCTGTATGGTTGGCATGATCTTGCTCACAGATGGACCTTTCTTCTGGACGATAGCTTCACGGGAATCACACAGACAGGAATGGCTGGTCATAAAACCCCTAGAAAAAATTCTCCTTACTGTAGTGTGATTCACTGGCTTGGAAAAGCCCGGGACAGTTTGGGTGCCCTTGTGGCCATCCCTTGCTCCTTTGATGGGATAGATTTTGAGCACTGGTTTGTGCTATGAATTCATTGGTCTTGATGAGTCATCTGCTGCCTCCTGTTCTGAAGACAGATTTGGCAGGTTTTCTTATAGCTCCTCCAGGATCCTGGCAATGCAGAAGCTCTCCATGGTAGTCCCTGTCCACCAGCCTTAAAGCAAGAGAGCCAGAATTAGGGGTGGAGGAGGGAGAAATTGCCTCTGTCCTGCCCCACACACCTTCTGTCTCCAGCCTTCCAAGAGTCACCCTTGGGTAATGTACCGACAGTGACAGGTATCCTAAAATAGCTTAGAGTCAATGTGCATAAAAAATTATAAGGGAAAGATGGCTGTCTACCTGGTTTGTGTTGCCACTCAACTTCTCTGCTGCCCTGCAGGAGATTTTTACACAGAATCCACTGGAGAGAGGAAAATGGGGCTGGTAGCCATTGAAAATGCCACCAATGTTCATTTATACTGGAGTTTATTCGCTTGTCTTTCACACACACCTACAAAAGAAATCCCTGGCCACCCTGCTAATTATCTAGCACTTTTGCTGGTCTGCTAGTGATAGGTATTTGGTCCCCTGGTTCATTAATTCCTGGGCTTTGCTCTCCCCCCTCCTCCCTTTTCCTCTCACACCACTCCCCAGTTTCCATTTCCTCTCGCACCACTCTTCAAAGAAACACTCTGGCCTAAGGGACCTGCCTTTCCCCTCCCTTTTTTGGACCCAGATGGAAAGGCTTTGCCAGCTGACTCCTCAGTTCTCTTATTGTCAATTTACCACTGACACTCAGTAAGCATGAGTTTAGAGGTTGCATGGAGGTTTATTGTCTGGGTAGGAAGAGCAAGCCCCTCTCTGCAAGCACTCATATTCTTTCCTTCACCGTCTAGGACTTGGAACCTTTGTTCTTCTCCCCATATTTCTGCTCCAAAGCTTTTTGCAGGTTGATGTTTAAGGCATTTTTCTGATGCCACCTCCCTATAAAAAAGACAAACCACATAGCTCCATCACTGCTACAATCCTAGTCCCTGCCCCTTAATACCTACCCACCTATGGCAGCCTTATCTCTTTGTCTCTTCTCCTGTGATGATGCCCATCTTTAATTCATCAGCTTCTTTCCTTTGCCAGTTGCCATCCCATACCTATCACCCTCTCCCTGTTTTGGCAGTGCGCAACTCTGAAGCACATGGGTTGCTTGCTCCTGGCAGTGGGCATACCTAGTTCATCAGTTTTCCTTCCATGCCAGTGCTTGGGGTCCCTGACTGCCCTCTGAATCACATCTGGGGTATAGGAATCCTTCATCAGGCTCTTGCTTTCCAGTGGGCCACCTGCAAGAAACAGGATACACAGGAATTGTATACAGATCCTGCACAGCTGCTCATGCTGTGGACAGACGGATCCAGCTCTGGGCAAGGCAAACTCTAGCCAACAAGAGCAAAAGGGAAAAGGGATAGGGAGACAATCTTGTCCCTCTCACTGTATTTTCATTTACTACGCTGTTCTATTAAGATCTGGGGATGATTCCAAGATCACCTGGACTCTGACCACCTCTCTTGCAGAAGCTTGTCAGCCATAAATGGGTGAAACTCCCAGTTTAACTTCACAAAACCACCACCTTGCCTCTTAAACCTTTTGTGCAACTCACCCAGAAGGCCTGCAAATCATGGCCATCCAGCACTGGGCCATGCATGCACGAAACAAGGTGACTCTTGTTCTCTTCTTTTGACTTCTAGATTCTCATCTTTTGACGTACTGCTATGTCATCCTCCCCACCTGTTCCTACCCTCTTTTGTCTGTTTCTTCTAATATCAATATCTATTTTGAGCTCTCTGGGAGAGGAACCATCTTCTTTGCTACTTGGCTGCAAAATTACCCAGCACAACAAGGCCTTACTTGTTCACTGCAGTTCCTAGAAATTTCACAGTAATAATAATCCGTCTTAGGTTGGCATATGGGAAGTTGGGGACACAGTTGTGTACCCAAGAGGCACTCAGATGCCATAGAGATGAGACCAATAGAGTAGCTAGATCTCCAAACAGTTACGCTGGAGGGAATATAGAGGGATCACTGAGGACTCTGGATGCAAAGAAGTTGGGGGAGAGGCATATCTGCAGAAACCTTGACTAAGGAAGGAGGAGGTGATCTGAAGTGGAGATATTTGTGTGGCACATCCAATAGCAGGGATTACAGTCCAGGTAGAGGAGATAGGTGGTCAAGTTATACCATCTTCTCATCAGTTGGAAAAAGGCGATGTGGGAGACAGACAAAAGAAGTAAAAAGGGAAGCCATTATTTCTCTTCTTTGAACAGTGTCACAGCAGTGACAAGAGAGGTGCAAGGGGTGCAGAGAAGAGACTTAGAGTTAAATGAACACCTCATCTACCAACTCAGAAGACCAGGATAACACAAAGTGCACAGGGAGTCAGTACTGGACCTTTGAGGGTAGCAGTGTTGGGCTGCCCACCTTGGAAGATGTTGGACCTCAGGTTGTAGCCCAGCTCATTGTAATCAGCAAAACCTGTGGAGGTCAGGGGGTTTTCGAGCAGTTTGAGTGTTCGGTCGCTGAGTCGCTTCTGCCCTTCAATCAATCCAGCCTCGCAGAGAGCACGGCGTTCCTGAAGATCACAAGCAATAGAGTCAGACTTCATCCACATTGCCCATGTGCACCTTATCCCCTGGGGCATCTCCTTCTGTGAGCAAACCTGAGGGAGACAATATAACCCTCTTTTACTAGTTCTGGGTGCACCCAAAACACCTAGACTGATTTAGACTTGGGTGCAACAAATGGGTGCAACTTAGGAACCAATTGAATTCTAGCTACTAACAACAGGTGGGAATTCAGACCTTTGGTGTCTACTGGTACTCTTACCATCTTGCCCAGAAGAACTGCTGATTTTAATTCTGACTGCAGAGCCCTCCACCCTCTGCTTCTTTATCAAGAGAAACAAAATTATGACAGAGCCTGAGACAGGACACAAGGACATGTCAAACAGCGGATATCTCTGGGTCTAGAGTTTGCTACGGAGAGCGGGGTGGGGAAGGGATGACAGGACCTGCCCCCAAGTGCAAAATTCAAACTGCTCCCTGCCAAACACCTTCCAGGAACTGCTTCAATCTCCAGTCAGTCAATTCTCACACCACCTCAGCAAGCAGCCACCCCACTCCTTGAGGGTCTGTGAAGCCACTGCCTTCCTCTGTTACCTGTTCTGCAGCAATGAGGTGGTCCACGACAGTGCTCCCGCAGTTGTGTTTAATAATGGGGGGAATCAGGCTGCTCTTCCTCTCTGGAAGGGGCTTTCCTTCAGCTTTCACATCTTGCCCTATTGATGCTAAGGATTCCTTTGCACTTAAACTATTCTGAACTTCCTTTGTCTCTTTGTAGCGGCTCTTGATGGTCTTTCGGGGAGATCCAGGTATTCTGGGCCCCAGTGTCCGATGCTGCCTTGCTACATCTGAGTTGGTTTGAGCATCTTCTGCTTCCCTCTGGCTAGACTGTGCCAGCTGTTGGAGGGCCCCAGTCCTCCCTCTTTGATGTTGCCCCACTGCAGGTTCCTTGGTGCCTGAGACATCTCTGGTCTCTTCTCCTTCCTCTCCAGCATCATCAGTCTGTGCAGAGGGACTTTTAGGCCGAAGGCTCTGTTTGCTGTAGCTTCTGGTCCAGAGATGCTGCACAGAGGGGGATGTCATGGGTTTAACTGGAGCAGAGATTGAAGGTGTTCCTGGAGCTGCGGGGCCCTTGGAGATCTTCCATGAGGTTCTGCTGGAACTCCTCAAGGAGGTTCTCTTGTTAGTGGGCCGTGCTCCTGCCACAATATACTCCTTGTTGGCATCTCCAGGTTCTGCTCAAAGACAGAAGGAACATATCCGGCATTGTTTTGGTAGTGGATGGTGTTTTAAATGGTGCAATAAATCCGTCTGGTACTGTGCAGTATCATTAAATAAAAAGATAGCATTAAGGGCCACTTTCAAAAATGCAGCATGATGGTCTTCATGTTTCTTCTGAGCTGAGGGGTCTCAGCTGTCACTGTTATATACACAGGTATGTACATGTCCAGAAACACACACAAATAAGCATCCTGGTTGCATACATGCATAAAGAAGTATCACTGCTTGTGCACTGAACATTGTGCAAGAGTACTCTTACCTATGTAAATGTATGCCTACACACACAGCTGAATAGCACATGCTTTGTCTTTCTCATTCAATGATTTCCTACCCCCCACCCCGGCTCTTTCTGCTGGGCACATGTCCACATGAATACCCTCTTGAAAAAATATACCTGTCTAATCAGGACACATATATTTCCACAGGCACGAACTGTGAATCAGTGCAGACAGACACACTTTTGCCTGCTTGCATATTTAACATCATGCATTTATGAAAACACACAATTACATAGGAATCCAGGTGTAGTCTAAGGGATAGAGAAAAATAACTAACCTGGGATTTGAGGGCTTGCCATAACATGTGGTATAAAAGAGGGGCATCTTCTCTACTGTATTGCTTACCTGATGGACTGCCAGCCTGTATAGACTCTTGTTTCTCTGCAGCAGGTATATGAGAGGCCAGGGCTATAGGCACCTCCTCAAGAGAGAAACAAAGGAGTGTGTTAAGCATAATGTGGGGAACAACAGAATCTGAACTGTTCTGTCCATCTGTGAGAAGTAAATCATGTCTCATACAGATATGGGCTTACCACCCCTGTTTACTATGGGCTTTGTAGTACCGGATTCAATCAGCTAATTGATGCATGAAGTCAACAATCATTTCTTATCAGAAAAAGTGGACAATTATGGGAGAATACTGTAAAACAAAACAACAAGACAGCCACAGCAATACTGGAATATGGTAAGCAATTACTGTGGAACTCCATTTGATACGGACTGACTCAATTAGTGTCCGTTGACTGAGATATCAAAAGCAGATAAAAAAATAACAGAAAAATTATTTGTTACATGTCTTATGGTACAGCATAGAGGTCTCAACCAAATCAGGATCCCATTGGGCTAGAAACCATAAAAACATAGTGAGAAACAGCCTCTTCTCAAAGGATTTAAAGTGTAACCAGAAGAGTATGAAGGTGAAAGAGCAGAACAGCAGAGGAAAGCATCAGCCACAAAACATAGTACCTATGCAGCTGGGATTCTTGATTCCCATAGTGATCGCTTTATGCTTTGCATCAATTACCCTCACCCATTGTGGCGTAAGTGCAAATGATATTATTTAAAAAAAAAAAAACCTAGCCCTTTTGGGAAAAAAAAAACCACTGGTATTTTACACTGGTATTAGACTCCACAGGCTGACTGTGTTTTGTGTAGAGGAAGTTTGTTGGGTAGCTCTCATGTGCAAACCTCACCCACGCTGCTAACTTTTTTCCTTGACCTCTGTTAGACCTTAAGACTTGCACATGAGATGATAAAGGTGAAGACCACAACCAGGCTCCAATTGACTCCATGGGCACAGGGTTGGGTCCTAAGTGAAGACATGTCACTGTTCCATGTGATGAAATTAGGTTCTTTTCTTTGGTTCCCATTCAGAGCACTCAAACGCTTACATTTTTATTAAAATTATAATCAGCCTGAAAGAATCAGCATTACTAATTGGATCTTCTACCCTTAGTTCTCACACCGGCTCTTGCCTTCTACCTACAGTAAAATTACCATTATTGATATTCTTCCTAGAGGCAAAAGAAAGATTTGATCTCTGAACCTGCAAGTCTTCAATTCAACAACTGAAGACTTTACCAGCTGTGACTCAAAAGTTCTGTGTACAAGGGGCTGGGATACTGCCTACTCTGTCTCCTTATTTCACAAAGCATAACCATTAACAATTAACTCTGATTTCCCAGTTTTTTGTGATTTAAAGGATGTTAAACTTCACAGGCAGATTTGAAATAATTATACATTACTACTATTATTTACTTTATAGCAGCAGCAGGTGGCTCTAACTGAAATCCAGGCCATATTCCTAGATTCATTAAAGACCAGAAGTAGCCATTAGATAATTTCTGACCATCTGTATAACACAAGCTATAGGGTTTCATCCAGTTATTCTTATTTTTGAACCCATTCTACAGTAAGCACAGTACATTCACATAGCATGAAATGCATTTCAATTCAGGAGTTAGAAATAATGAAAACACATTTTTCTTCCTTTTTTCTGAAGATCCCCAAGTAAATTCTTAGCCTGCTTTACCATCCCCAGACATTTTCACCTTGTTCACACTTTCCTGTCTTCTGGTATCAAATGATCACAGAGGAACCTGAGAGCTGTCACTCTGGAGCAAAGGACTAACCTCCTTAGGCAGCTGTAGCTGGGTCATTCTCACAAGGTCTCTTGCCTGGAAAAGCACTATTATTATTGTTATTATTATTATAATAGATGAACTATATATGTGTGAGATGTGGCCCGGTGTCTCGTGCCAGATGTGGTTCAGTATCAGCTGCCAGATGTGGCCAAGTAGAGCCCCCCATGTCCCCCACATGAGGCCTAGCCAGGCATCCAAAAGATGGTGAGATTACTATGGCAGGAAACATGAAATTATGTCTTTGTTTAGGTCAGACTGTCTTTGTTTGTGTATCTGTCTGAGTCCTTCTGTCTGATGAGTTGGTTCAGTCCCTAGGAAAGAGGCTGAGAAGTGAAACCTCTCTTTTAGAGGTATCTCACCTGTTCCATGGTCTCAAGGAAGATGCCAAAGTGATTCTTCTAACTGGGCAGGCCCTGATGAAGTCCAGGAGTGCTGATGATGAGGTTGAACTAAGAGTATGCACCATAGATGGTTGCTAGGGAACAACCCTCCCTATCTGTGAGCTGTAGTTACTATGGGAACTAAAATAAACATCACAGTTTGGAGTCATCCTTGTTGCTTTAAAAAACCCAAACCAAAACCTTTCGTCCCAGAAGGAGCCCAGACCTGATAGTTCTCAGCATAGTCATATGATTTTGTGAAGATTCTCAAAATAAAATAATAATAATTAACAGGATTTCTGCATTTCTATGGAACATGCCCTCCAAGGGTCTCCTCAAATGCTCTCCAGAAGACAAGTAATGTTCTCCTCGTTTCTGTAGCTTGCTACAATCACTCACCAAATCAGTGAAACAGTCCGGACTAGAACACATGGTACTGTAGTTTAGCACAAGACTGCGCCACTCATGTCTTGGGAATGTTTGGAGCTTAGACTTGCTATCTCACAACCCAGCTGGGATTTCACAGAGCAGATTACAGAGGAGCATTACTCTCCTCAGTGTAACATGGCTGTTCTTCCTGCAGAGTGCGATGAGGTGAGTGGGCACTAGGAAGGATCAGAGACATGCACAGACATGTAATCTGAAGGTACAGATTTTATTCAGTGGTCTAATAAAAAACAAAAAGAGAGCCCCCAAAAAGCCTACCCCTTGGTGTTAGAAAATGAGACAAAGTATAAAGTATGATGATTTTCATACATTGCCCTCCCTCCACCACCTTTTCAGTGCTTGTGAAAGGAGACTGCAGAAGAATCTGATGCCTGATGGATGCTGTAGAAGTGCATCACAGCCTTCTTCCCTTCAAGCTGTACCGCGTTTCCACTCTGACACCTTATACTCCGGTGGGGCACGGCGGAACCACTCTGACCAGGAACCATCATAGACAGCCACATCTGGTTTGCCACAGATGTATGCTGCCAGGGCAACATGGCATGCTGTGACCCCTTTACGGCATGTGGCAATGAGTGGCTTTGAGAGGTCCACCTTCTTCTCCTGGAACATGTGCTGAAGCTCCTCGGGGCTCTTCTCAAGGCCTGCTTCCGTGAGAAAGTTGAAGAAGGGCATGTTAACGGTGCCAGGGATGTGACCTGGTTCCAGCCCTAGAAAAAATACCACCAGAGAGAAGGAAACATGAGAATGTTTAAAGAAATATCCAGACAACAGGATCACAATCAGCAAATCCTGTTAAGAAAATTGCTCACAATCTCAGAGGAGGGTGGTTGTATGGAGTGATGGACTGAAGGATACAGGCACCTTAGGGAAGACAAACTAAGGTTGAAATCCTCAAAGATGCAAACATTAGTGAGAGAAATCCCTGACTTCTCAATCTACATCTTCACTGACTGCCTATCTTGTATGCATACCAGCCCAGCCTCTGGCTTCTTTACTTTTCATTCCATCCAGGAAGAGCACACACCAACTGCTGAAACTTCCTCTGCCTGACGAAGGGTTTTTGAACCCAAAAGCTTGCTTAAAAATTGTTTTCCAACTATTTAAGTTCATCTAATAAAAGATATCAGATTCACCCAAAAAACCTTGTCTGCAGAATCTAAGATTCTTCATGAGCAGGGTCCTCTGTCACTGCAGAGATGCTACAGCAGAATAGGCCAGACATTAACAGACAAGGTGTAAAGAGTAATGCAGAAACATATGTAAGAAGATATCAGACTGGAACACCCTGTGGCAATTTCTGGCCCCTAACATTTACTGTATGGGCCAAATTCACCAGAGTTCCCCATAGTCATATCAGGAGTGAACCTGGCCCTGTGAAATTATGAAATCATTTCTAACCATTAGTGAAACAGGGCAGACAATGCAAGTTCTTAAAAGGCAGAAAGGTCATAAAAAATGTTCTCAGCCATGTGTTTGGATCCATTTCTCACAGGTTATCTTCTAGGGAAATAGGAACTGGAGTCCATGCCCAAACCTGGCAGCCATGGCACATTTAGGGTCTGATTTGCCCCTACCATAAGGTAAAGTGCATAAAGAACTATCCATGTGAGTGGAGAATTCAGACTGTATAGTACTTTACATATGGTCTGCCCCAGGATAAACAAGGGTCAAATTCTCTCTGCTCAGAAACTCTGTGAAGCCATTCATATCAATTCATGCTGTCTGAAAATATGTTCCAAAGAATAATGCCGTTAATACAAAGTAGACATCAAAAATGATGAATGGGATTTTAACGGTCTCATTGACATTCAAACTCTTTAAGTATGTGCCTGGCTCAATGCTCTCTCAGGTCAATGGGAGTTTTTCTGCTGACCTTCATGGGCTTTGGCTCACTCCCCATTAGAGCCTCGGATTGTACATGCTGGCTTGAAATTGTTTTCCAGTGAGTGGAATTAGTTAGGTGTGGATTTCTAAGGAGTGTGAAGGAGGTAATATTTGTGGAGATCAGATCAGTAGGAACCTATGCTTCAAAAAACAAGACACCAGTTGTTCTAAAAGCATAGGCTGGTCCAGCTAGTCATAAGTTGACTCCATTCCTACAAAAGGAGAGGATGAAAAAGAGTCCCCAGTTAATTTTAGGCCTCACAACACCACAATCTTGCATCATGACACAGCATCACAATGTCATGTCATTACATAATGATGTTTTGATATCATCACTCTTGGTTGCATAACCACAGTGTGAGGCTGCAAGACCTGTGACATTTTATTTTGTCCCGCAGGTAAAGGGAGATGGTAGAGAGACAGAGCCTGAAACAAGGATGAGCTTCCTTTGGAAGGCTGTTCTGCAGCTGGGTCACGAGCGACCTCCTTCTCTTCCAGACGGACATTATCCGTCTCATTTGCTTCTTGATTTGTCTCCTCTGAGCTCAACAGAAATTGGCTCCAGCTCTCAGTAGGGTCTGCATGCTTCCTTGGAAAATGATTTCAGTATTGTAGAGCAAATATTGGGAAGAGAACTACTGTCACTCCTGCTCTGCTGCTTTTTAATGAAAACCGTGTTTCCAAATGCCAGTCTCTCATACTACTATAGACTACTAAAGCAGCACTTGCACGCAGCTTTCTAACCAGACAGCTTTTTGTTGGGAGAAAGAGTTAAAGACTCAGGGCCCTAGTCTCCCCCTGTTGAACAAAAGTAACCCCTGGGAAAAGCTATGGTTCTGATCCTGTGCTCTATCATGGCCCCTTTCCAGCAGTTGAACTGCAAAGCTGATTTATGGGGACTCCCCCAGTATAAGTTGGTTTCCAGTATAATAGTTGTATGGTTCCCCTCCACCTCCTATGTCTGGGCATCCTGGGAGGAGGAGTTTTGGGGTCCAGAGAGGCATAGCCAGGAATTATATATATTCTGTGATGGCAGAACTGGACCCTTCCTGGGCTATGCACTCAAAAGACTAATAGCAGCAACACAAACTGCACAGAAAGCAGAGTGCACCATGCAAGCTCCTCTATGTCACAGTGTGACCAACTCCTCTCTATGCCCTGAGCTGTCACCTGCCTGCTCTGTCACTCTTCAGGTATCTCCTTATTCAAGCTCAAGAGCTGTATGCAGTTCTCTTCCAAGACAGAGAGCTGTTTCATCTTTACTTTTTAAAAAACATGCACATCACTACAGTTAACATGGCCATCCACCGCCAGTGAATACTTTGTAAACAGAGACACTCAACTACTTGGCCTCAGAAGTAAGTTATCCCAATAGCATTGGACTGGCCCCTGT